ACAAACACAACAGGCTCTACATGAAGGCCCGACCCTTCCCAGATGGTTTGGCCGAGGACATCGACAAGGGTGAGGTCTCTGCTCGTCAGGAGCTGAAGCAACGAGCTCGTTACCTGGCTGAGAAGTACGAGTGGGATGTCACCGAAGCCAGGAAGATCTGGTGCTTTGGTCCTGATGGCACCGGCCCCAACATCCTGACTGACATCACCAAGGGAGTGCAGTACCTCAACGAGATCAAGGACAGCGTGGTGGCCGGCTTCCAGTGGGCCACGAAGGAGGTAGGTAGGGGCAGGTGGCATCATAAATGGCTAGTGGACATCTTTTCAAAGAAATGTGGGGAAAACTACCACGTAGTGCAACCTATTTATAATTTGAAAGTATCTTTTAGGTTAAATGAAACTCGGTGTTGGCTGGAGTGAAGTTCTATCGGTTTAGACACAAAAGCACCCTCAAGACAAAAACTTTCTCCTGGGGCTGCCGAGAAATTCATCGCGGCAGCACATACTTTTGAAGCTTCTAAAAAGCTTTTTCAAGGAGCAAAACGCAAGAGCAGGGATAGAAACTACTAAAATTTCTAACACAGCTGGCATCAAAGGAAAATAAAAGGTACTTGGAGCCTCAGTGAAGATCTGGCCTTGTTGACCAGGTTTTTGGGGTTTTTTTGAGGACTAAACAGGAGATGACTTGTTATTCAAGGAGTCATTTAACTTGAATAAAAGTTGATGGGTAGACTGGGAACAGCAACAGGAGAGGGTTTTTTTTCCTGCTTATTTAAGTTAGAAGAAAAAAATACGATGGCAACAACTTCTTTTGTCACACTGATGTGGAAAACCTGCTTTTCTTGGCCAAGAACTTGGGTTGCAGCATCTTAAGGTGTATTTTGACCCCTTGCTCTGCTTTTCCAGGGAGTCCTGTGTGAGGAGAACATGCGTGGTGTGCGTTTTGACGTGCACGATGTCACCCTGCACGCTGACGCCATCCACCGCGGAGGAGGACAGATCATTCCCACTGCCAGGAGATGCCTGTATGCCTGTGTGCTCACTGCTCAGCCCAGGCTCATGGAGCCCATCTACCTTGTGGAAATCCAGGTGAGGAACCTCTGCTCACCCCAGAAGATCCTGGGTCAAGAGAAGTTGAACGAGTCTTGATACCTCTCTCTCTTGCAGTGCCCGGAGCAGGTGGTGGGTGGCATCTACGGTGTGCTGAACAGGAAGCGTGGCCACGTCTTTGAGGAGACCCAGGTGGCTGGCACCCCCATGTTTGTGGTCAAGGCCTATCTGCCTGTCAACGAGTCCTTTGGTGAGTCCTGGTCCTGGGTGTGCTGGGTCACCAACACTAGGAAGGAAGGAGATCCCCTGTATCCAGCCGGCTGGTTGTAGAATCATTTAGGTTGGAAAAGATCCTTAAGATCGTAGAGTCCAACCATAAACCTAATGTCCACCACTAACCACATCTACACACCTTTTAAATCCTTCCAGGCATGGTGACTCCACCACTTCCCTGGGCAGCCTCTTCGAAGGCTTGATAACCCTTTTGGTGAAGAAATTCTTCACAATCGCCGTACTAAACTTCCCCTGGCACAACTTGAGGCCATCACAGGATGGTTTGGGTGGGAAAGGACCTTAAAGCCCACCCAGTCTCCCTCCCTGCCCTGGGCAGGGACACTTCCCACCAGATCAGGTTGCTCCAAGCCCCCTCCAACCTGGCCTTGAACCCCTCCACAGGGATGGGGCATCAACCACCTCTCTGGGCAACCTGGGCCAGGGTCTTGCCACCTTCAGTGTAAAAAAATTTCCTCTTACCTAGTAGATGTCCCCTTTTAGTAAAAGGCCATTGTCAGATGTCCTATCGTGACAGGGCCTGCTGAAGTCATTCCCTATTTTAGAAGAGCTAGAGGTTCCAACGAGGCCTTTCTCAAGCCTTCTCCAACCTCAACTCACAGCCCTTATGGCAGAGTTGTCCTGTGCTTGGCACCTCTGGAGGCTTTGGATTCCTTTTCCCTGGATGGGGACATGGAGCCTTCATAGAATCACAGACTGGTTTGGGTTGGAAGGGACCTTAAAGATCATCTTTCAACCCCCTGCCCTGGGCAGGGACACCTCCCACCACACCAGCTTGCTCCAAGCCCTCTCCAACCTGGCCTTGAACCCCTCCAGGGATGGGGCAGCCACAGCTTCTCTGGGCAACGTGGGCCAGGCTCTCACCACCCTCATAGCCAAGAACTTTTTCCCCACATCTCATCTCCATCGCCCCTCTTTCAAGGTCAAACCATTCCTCCTTGTCCTATCATGACAAGACCTGCTAAAGTCAGTCCCCATCTTTAAGAGACCTCTTGAGGTCTTGTTGGGGCCTTCTTGGAGTGTTCTCCAACCCTTCCTCAGGGCAGAGCTGCCCTACGGTTGACATCTCAGTAGACTTTGGCCTCCTTATATTTTGGTGAAGACCTGGAGTTTTGATGACTCCAAACTCCTCCTGTTGATGAAGAACCTCACCTCCTTCTTCTTCCTCCCCAGGTTTCACAGCGGATTTGAGGTCCAACACTGGTGGCCAGGCTTTCCCCCAGTGTGTCTTCGACCACTGGCAGATCCTGCCCGGGGACCCCTTTGAGAACGCCAGCCGGCCCTGCCAGGTGGTGGCCGAGACCCGTAAACGCAAAGGGCTGAAGGAAGGCATCCCTGCCCTCGACAACTTCCTTGACAAACTCTAATTAAGCTCCTGATGGACTCTGGGGGAGAGTTGGGGGGGGTATTAAAATTTAATTAATTAGCCTTGGGTAGAGAGCGAGCCCATCAACTGCCATCTTGTTGATTAATGGGTTGAGACTTAAAATAAGGAAGAAATCAAAAAAAGATATTAAAAAAAAAAAGCAGCCTTATAGGTTTCTGTGTTGCACATGACTCATCTTTGCCATTGTAACTAAAACATTTCCACCAGATTTGCCCAATTCTGTATTTATTTGACTCAAAAAGGGTGGGGGAGGGAGGGGGAGAAATGCTCTCCTCCTTCCCCTGAGAAAATAAAAAGGGGGGGGTAAATCCAGCTCAATCCATGCGAAACGAGGGGAAAACCTGCAGTGTGACTGTCCGTCGTGACCATCGCCGCCTGTATTAGTGCCACTGGAATTAATAAAAATTGGATAATGGTGATTGTTTTTTTTTTTTTTT